TATTTCGGATACTCGATCCAACCACGCATTTATTGTTGCCTTCCATTGCCTAACTTCGTTTAGAGGAAATTTTCCGTCTTGTTCAAACCGCACCAGATTTTGCAATACAGTCTTTAAATGTTTTTCAACTTGTCAGTTGATTTTTCCGTAGCCAATATATCTTCACTTGAGGATAGCAATTCCTTTACATTTTCCCAATTTTCTTCAGTCATGTTTTTTGCCTTTTCCCAAAAGTCTTTAATTGACATTGGTTTTGTAGGCTCCAAGGCCTGTGCAGGAGTTGTTTGCTGATTGTTCTGTTGGTCATCAGTCTGTGCATGTCAATCAAACATATACCAGTCTTCTAATTTGTACTTACCATTACATTATTGGAATCGCGATAATTATTGGTGTTAAGACGTTGTATTTTGTACGTTTGTGTAGTTGTTTGACTCGCAAATCCTTCGTCAGTTTCTTCTTCCTATCAATTAAATAATGGTTACAATCTATCAAGTACTGACTGTCAACGTTAGTTATTACATTCATACCTGCTTAATAGTTGGTTCAGAATGTTCTTGTTTAAAAGTTGTCTCTTCCGTAGTATTACATAAAAAGTTACTGACGCCATAATATGATGGTGCAGCGAAATCCATGTCTAACTCGTGCTCCTCATGTACATCGGTATCTTGAAGTTGTTTTACTAAATTCAGGTCCGTACACACCTTTTGGCTAAACACCAGTTCATAAGGTGTCGTATTTGTCACCCGAGAAACCGAAGTGTTTATCGTATAAGTTACTGTCGAAAGTCCATTGCTCCATTTGAGAGTTTTATTTGACTCCATCCATTCTACAAGACTCTTCTTAAAAATATCATTAGCTTTCTCCACAATTTCTGGTGATTGGAGGCACGACTTTCCATGAATAATCTTAGATTGTGGCCACATCTTCATTAGTTTCTGAATAACATTTACTGTAAAACTTTTTCCATTGCTTGACTGAAGAATCAATGGTGCACCGAATACAATAAACATGTTATGAAGAGCTCTTGCTACCTCTTGAGAGTTTTTGATCTTTAGTGGGGCTGTCCATAACCACTGCGTATAATAATCTTTTGCTAGACAGACGTATTGAAAGTCTTCATCTTTGTGAGACATCTGTAAAATATCAACTTGGACTCTCGTTAAGAATTTTGTTTTTATAATAGGTCTCGTGGAGAATCTGTCCATACGTCTATGAGCATTACACACAGAACAGTAACTGATAAAGTTTTCCACCAAGTCTTGCGTAATGTAAGCATATTTTGAGGCAATAGCATTCCAAAAGACAGTCATCCCGGGGTGTTGCAGTTTGTCATGAATGTCAGTGAGTACCTCGAACAATCGTTCTTTTGGACAGACAGGACGTGCTGGTCTTGCATTACGTCCTTTTGATTTTTTATAGAGTACGTGACCATGTCCATCTTCGCTTTCTCTTAATTCAAACGTTGTACGGACCTGTCAATGCCATAAATGTTCATTATTATTGCAATAGTCTTGGATTAACAGCATTTGATGGTCAAACGGCAACCTTTCTTTTCTTCTTTTTTCTTTATAGCACAACTCACCCAGTGTCGATACTTCTTGTCAGCCAATCTAATATTGTTAGGATTTAGCAGTATTAGAATGGCTTGATCATACATTTCCTGCGTTATAAAGGCTTTGGCCTGTCTCTTCTTGGAGCGTTTTTCGATGTAATTGACAAGAATTTTGTTAAAGGCTTCAGGCGTAACGGAATTATAAGTGACAGACATGTTCTTTTCAAATGTAGATATTGCAGAGACAATAACTAATTTGATGTTGCTACATGTATAGTCTCGAAGACCTTTATTCGGTTGTTGTCAAGAACAAAGGAGAATCGAAAACCTTATCGCATATTTATGTTCCACACTCGAATTCTATATTAAGATACATACCGCTTGCAAAAAAAAAAACCTCGTCGATCCCTTTTCACACAAAGAATAGTTTACTTGTTCGCAATTGGTGCGATATGCAGTCTGCATTTAATTTTTTTTACCTGACGATCGAGTAAATATCATTACACAACAGCGATTAAAAAATTAATAAGTGTATTAAAAAAACACATGGTACTAGTATTATTACACCGGTGGAAGAGTTCAAGCACACATGTTGCAGTTGAAAAGATAAATAAGGTAAACAAAACTAACTCAAAGTTTGAACAGCTGACATCTATTTTGATTCAAACTCGTTAGTGCGAGTTGTTTGAGTCACCACATTAAGTGGAGATCATGTGTATGTGGACAATAAATTTAAATTATGCCCAAAGCAATCCCTATCGTATTAGACATATTGGGACAATTTTTAATTCGGTTTTTTATACATACTAAAAGAGTTGCCGTCCGTATTATGTCATGGTTGGTCAGACAATATTCCAGCTCCACTTCGATACTATAGTATGAAGCGAGTCCCTTTGTCATATAATTTATCAAGATCAATCGTGCCGTAATATTATGTCGTAGTTATCATAAAGAATAGTTTTTTTTTTTGGTGATTGATTAAGAAGTACACTTTTATATAAGAAAATTTCGGTAGCAACGAGAAGAACAGCGAAACGGGTTTAAAGCAAGTTTTACGAGTACATATCTCTTGCGTCTTTAATAGTGTGACCAACAAATGTGACTTTGAATACAGGATTACGAACGATCTCAAGCGTGTTATTCATTTCACAAACTTTATTCACTCGTATTTGGAATTGCTGTTATATTAAACAATGGGGTAAGTGAGGAATGTACTGAATTTATGAATAGGCAGTAAATCGGGAGTTTTTAATGGACCATAAAAATTCCATTTTAGTAACATTTATTTCGAATTACGCCATCGTGATCAGCTGCATCTTTCTTTTTAAGTATTCTGAGCATGTGCGTTGACTGCACCACAAACATTGCACAGCCAGAAGTACAGGCGGTGTGTATTGTAACGGCAACAAATTTATGTATCACCTGCAGATTCCGGAATTAGTTATATCCTACTCGGTCAGTGTTGGTCAAGATCTTATATGGCAATGCTCAACATTCATCCACAACTCAATTTCAAATTTTCGGTAAGTTTCTGATTAGTCGGATGAGTTTCTCGAATATACTCGAATAGTCAATTACTAGCACTACATACGCATAATAATAATCATATAAGCATAATTAAACATACGATACGCCACATTGGCTATTTCGGATATATTAAAATTACGTGATTCAGGAGACAAAAAGTAGTTTGGATTTTGACATTGTGTTAATGATATTGCCGTTACAAATCTGGACTGCGACAAACTTTTGTAGCTTGATTTTGACTGCTGTTGAGTTTCAAGTTGTACATATAACTTTTTTTACCTCAAATACGCTTGTTGTAAGAATCAGTTTTGTTTACCCAAAATAGTCCTTATGAAGAGAACTGACTGTACAAGTTTCCCTCCCCTCACAAAGACAAACTTCAAACCGTTTAAGACTTTTGCTCGTTCAAAAGCTTCGGCCATTATATTAGTGCAGTTTTTGATGTATGTGTCGGCATCGTCTTTGTGACCGTAGCTTACTGTATATTCTTGCTACATTAACCACTCCAGTCTGATGCTTATAGCAACATCGTGTAACACATACGTGCAACGAAGGCAAATTATTATCCTTAATAATTCCTAATACTATTCGATACTTTATCGTCAATTCCCGCTGTTCGATCAAGATTAACTTGTTTAAGCTGAACGACTGGTCCCTGCCCATGCAAATTTTTTAAAATTGTATGATATATTGATTACAGTCATACCTCGGTTATATCCCCGGTTTGATATATCTGGTGTGGATATAGCTGATGTATAACATTTTAAATAGATAGCATCGTATAGTTTTATTGGTTAAGTAAAAAAGAGAATATCAGGAGAAAAGGTATTGTACAAAAGCTCGTTAACGGTGGCAAAAACGCAAATCCTATTAGTGATGTTTGATCCTTCGACCTTTCTACTGATTCATAATTATATTATGCATATTATGTTACTACAGTAAATTGTTTTTATTATATAACCAAATGAAGCAAAGATCGACGAATTCTCACAGAAATATATATAGAAATGACGTAATTTTTTGTGTAATAAACAATATATATTAAGACTAAAAAGATACCCAGCATTGCAGCTAGGATGTAATTGTGCAGCACGCAATACTTACACCACTTGCCAGAATAAGTAGTGTTTCGAACATCGTATGATGTTTATCGTTGGCTAATGGAATGGAATGGCTGATATGACGTTCTGCTTTGTGTGTCACTCCACAATAGAAAGCGAGAGTTAATTCTAAACGTTTGGGGATTTCAGAACTAAACAACGAGTTCAAAGACACCATTAGAAGATTTATTAATAAGTTTATTATACGCAAATTTATTATACCATGCTTGATGATTTGATTCACTAACAACCAGAGCCGTAGAGCCAAATCGATAGAGTCAACTTACACAGAGACAGTCCCATGTAATGAAAATGTTACACAATTCAATTTATAATACCTTTGAAGACTTGCGTAACTTGCCGCCTGCAAAAAAATGTGCTAGGGGAATGCTAAATGCAAAATCCTATCATTACTCGAATCCCGTTGAATCCCTCACCCTCGCGTAGCCATTAACAAGCTAAGAATAAACATCGCACAGAAATCTAAAGATTTGGTTAAACACCGTTCGTTAGG